TTTTTCTTAATTTTATGGGAACTTCTAGGAATTTCTATATTTTTGGGGATTTTTTTGGAATAATTTATGGTATTTTTCTAGGCTGTTTATGTAGACTGAGGCTTGGGACGCTTCTGAAAGTTCTAAAAATTGGTTATGGGTTTTCAAAATAAATTTTCCTAATTATATGAGGAGATTTGACTCGATCTGGTGATTAGGATGTATCTTGCTTTGGTCAAAGCCAACGTTCCAGGGTTTCTAGTAGGGTCAAAGGTGGTTGGGTCCTCAAGGCATGCTGCTTGTCGTTCGCTGCCCATGGGCTCACAGCAGGCCATGACTAGCAGCCTATGCACGACATGGGGAGGCCTGTGCATAGGGATCTGGGTGCCATTTTGACTGAACAATTTGTTTAGGCCATAACTTTAAAACAGAAAGTCGGATTTGAATGATTCTTGAATCGTTGGAAAGCTCTCGATCTGCCGTACAATCTAGGCTTGGTTAGGGTGAATTTGGGGGAGTTTTAAGGGGTCAACAAGGTTAGGACTTTAGGTTGTTGGATTTGAGGTTTCTTGGTATCAGATTGGTATTTGGGTTAGTTCTCTATGTTTATTAGCTTCAGGGGGGTCTGAGATGACTAGTTTAGGCTACTTAGATTTTAGGTAATTAGGGTGTTCGGACTATAGAAAATGGTGCTCTAGGCTATATTAGACTATTGTGGTCCCTACGACTTAAAGCTAAGGTTTCTGGGAATCCTATAAGCTAGAATTTCTGGGAAGCGGTGTCTTTACTTACACATCATCATGAGGTATAAAACAATCTGACCCTAAAAATAGATAACCCTCAACCCTCTAGGTGCCTCTCACATACTCAAGCCTCATAACAAACCGGGGTTGTGACTCTTTGATGCAGTCTAGAATACTGCTCTAAAGTATCTAGATGAGAGAGGTAAGCTTAAAATTTACAAGAGGAACCATAGAAGGGAAAAATAGTCATTGAATCTGCCCTTTATGTCTTCTGTTTATTTCTTAAGTCATTTTATTCACTTAGGGGAATAAGTAGTTATTTCGAGAGGGTTTTTTTATTCACTTAAAGTCTTTTATAATTAATGACCATGATTAGATTAGTTGGATGGGCAGGATTAAGTCTTATTTAGGGTTTTCTTATTTTAAGAGATGTACTCAAGCATAATGAAGCAACTTGTTACAGATTTTTATCAAAATCCTAGAGCAGCAAGTGTTCATCTCTAGTTTTTGAAAATTCTCTAAGTTTGGATCTTCCCCTATCTTCTTCTCTAATAAACCCTAGCTCCAAGCTACTAGGTCTGCGCTAGGTTGGTATACGAGCCCAACGATATGTATGATATTCTAGTATTGTATGGACAATACTATAGCACGATATTGTAGCACAATACTTTAGCACTGTACGGATGGTATTGTAGCATGGGATGGATGGTATTTTAGCATTGATTTTTGCGCCCTAGATCAGCAACCATGTCTCCATGTAGAGGAAAAGTGGCAACCGTAGAAGCTTTTAATGCTAGTTCGCAAGAAGGGATTTCAGATCTAAGGAGATTGGTTGAAATCCCAGCTCTGCGTTTGGCGCAGATGGAAGCCCCATCTTGGGAGGATGAGATCGCGACAGATGAGGAATCCATAAATCCCTTCCATGTTCAAGCTCCAAGGAGATAGGTAGCTGATCGTTTGTATAGGGATAGTTGGAGGTGGGAAACCAATATCGATGTTGAGATCCCAATCCAAGAAAAGTATGGAGAAACTTTGTTCTCATCAAATGGTTCTCAAGTTCAGCATGTTTTGGACTTGGACTTATCGCTAGTCTTTGACAAGTACGTGGATGAAGATTTGCGTATTGCGAAAGAAGTGAGTAATCTGTGCTTTAATGGTGATCCAATCCTGAAAGAGGATCAAGAAAAAGATCCTATCATTGGAGAGGATTTTGTGGATGCTCCTATTCTTGAAGAATAATAGGCTCGATTTCAAGGAGTTGTTCCCAAAATATTAGAGGTAATTGGTTTCTTAGTCCCCAAAGAAAGTTGAGAGAATGGTGTTGATGGAGGTCATGATATGATGTTCTTTTTTTCGGGTTTCACTTGAATTTAAAGTGTCAAGTAAGGTTCACACCAAAGAGTTCAAGGTATTTTCTCCTGAACTCTCAGGTAGTGAGTTTAATATAGGAGATTCTCTCCAAAGGGTTGCTGAATTCATTCTCTATAAGAGAACTCAGGCTGAGTTGCTGCTTTACTTTGATGGAAGAAACAAATCAATTCCTTATCGTCTTCCCTGAAAATGTAATCGGAGCCTAATGTTTGGATCTTAACCTCACCAAATTCAGTAAGAATGATCCTCAGAGTTCAAAGTTTTTATTGCATCCTAAGAGAAGAGTTTTCCTCAAATATGTTTATGATTGATAGTGTTGCGCACTTGTATCACAGCAGTGTTAGTTTTCAATGAGCACAAAATGTGATGGATGAGATGCCTATGAGAGGCACCATGACAGGGAAATTGTTGGTCTCTATTTTGAAATGTATATATTTAAGGTCTAGTTACAATGTTTCCAAGAGATGAAAAATTCTGGGTTTTGGTCTTCTCAATATACCCTTGTTGATGAAAAATTCTGGGTTTTGGTCTTCTCAATATACCCTTATTGGTATTGTTACATCAAAATGGTGTAGTGGATTGATTGGAGAGTATGGAAGCAGTTAAGCAGGCTTATGCTAAAACTGTGAAATGTGGGTTTTGCTGTAATCTTTGCTTTAGCATTGCACTCTCATCAATTCATTGCAAGATTGGCAATCTCGTTTTGGCGGTTTCAATTCTCAATCTTACAAGTCATAGATGTGTGATTTCCTACAAAGTTATTTTGAATGGATATCGCCGGACGTATCGTTAGAAGTGATTCAAGACTCTTCCCTCCTATGCTTGTTCATGATTGTAGACCAAGTTGTTCTGAATATCATAAGTTGAGCTAGCACAAGATTAGACCATGTGAAGTGGTGCAGAAGATTAATGACAATGGTTACAATTGAAGCTTTCCAGCCATATTCGAACTTTCGTTGTTTTTAATGTCGCGTCTCATTCCATATCGTGATGATACCTCCGATGATGAGTCGCCGAATTTGAGGGCGAATTCTTTTGAGGAAGGGGGGATTGATGCATCCTAGAATATTGCTCTAGAGTATCTAGATAGGAGAAACAATCTTAAAGTTTACAAGAGGAATTGCAGAAGGGCAAAATAGTCATTGAATCTATCATTTAAGTCTTTTATTTATAACTTGAGTCATTTTGTTTACTTAGGGGCATAAGTAATAATTTCTAAAATGTTTTATGCCTTTTTATTTACTGAAAGTTTTATATAATAAGTGGCCATGATTAGATTTGTTGGATGGCCTGGCCAGGATTAAGTCTTGTTTAGGATTTTTTTATGAGAGATATACTCAAGCATAATTAAGCATCTTGTTATGGATTTTATTAAAAACCCTTAAGCAGCAAGTACTTCTTTTATCTTTGGTTTTTGAATCTTTCTCTAATTTTGTATCATCCATATCTTTTTCTTTGATAGACCCTTGCTCCAAGCTATTAGGTCTGTGCCACTCGTGGTCCTAGTAACCCAAGATTCTAGAGTCACATGGCTATCGTTCACTCCCATTTGTGATTAAGAGCTATACCTTGAGGGGCCCCAACACCAACAAGAACCCGAAGTGGTTACGGTTCCAGACTACTAATGTTTTCTTTAGGAGCTGAAACTTTTCGCAAATTTTAAATCTGCCTATCCTTGGACCTTAGAAGACCACCACCACGGGGGGATGAGGGAGTGGATGCTTCTGTCCTCCAGCTACATTCTTTTGAACGTAAAAGGCCTTGGTCTAAATTGTGTTGGTTGAGTATCAACGAAGATAGAGATTGGCCAGAGACAGTTGTATGCAAATATTGGAGATAAACATTTATTGAGATAAATTTCCAGAAATTGGAGATATATTTCTTTCTAGCTTTGCTCCAATAGCTAAGAGAAACTTATATCGAGGTTTCATATTTTCATGTTTCACAGACATGCAGCACAATATTTTTTGAATGTGCCATTTTTCAGAGTGTGCTGAGTTGTTAGATAGCCTTAATGCCAAAGGATGTGATATTTTTGTAAATAGGTAGTTTACCTCCCCTGTATCTGTTTCCTTCATTTGTCCTTGTGATTCTATAGAATTAGGATGGCTGCAAAAATCTCTGGCTAAACTGAGGACATATAACTGGAACAAAGCAATGTCATTCCTGCTTTGGTAGGGTTCCTAAGACCTAACATTGAGATTATCCTCTAATCTTTGTCATTCTTACCCAATATTAGCTGCCAAGGTTTGTCAGTTATCCTTTTGGCTCTTAAAGTAGGCCTTTAGAATTCAAGAAATGGCTATAATATTTTTAACAATGGGGAAGAATGTGTACATGTTTAGCTCTTATCTTATTCTTTTGTTGATTGAGAGGATCAGGCTTTTGGCTTTTGGTTGGATGGCACCATGTGTTCCATGAAAAATATAGGAAGAGAGCTGAGATGTGCAACCTTGACCTCTTTAAAGCCACATCATATTAGCTTAGATAGAGTTCCCATTGCCCATTCTTTTCTTCATAAGTATTTTGTATATTTCTCTCGTTATGTTTTTGTTTGCTTCTCATACATTCTGGGCCTATATAATGTGACCCTGCAATGCTTGAGAGTAAAGATGCCTTTCACAATAAACTGAAGAGTGTGCTTTGCGCTCCATTTCCAAAGCAACACTTCTGGTAAAAGTACTAGAACTTTCCTCATTTTACTAGAACTTTCCTCATTTTTCTGTCTTTTTCTATTTCTGTTTAGAGCTGGGAGGAGGTAGAATCATATCAGGTTTGCTGTTGAGCAGGGATTAAATCTTCTTTCTTACTGCTTGTGCTTCCACAATTACTCCTTTTTTTTTGTTTGGGGGGGAATTCTATTTAGGAGAGTTCTGCTATTGATATTCTTTTATCAATCGTTTGTAGGGGTTTGGTGCGGACTTTCAACCAATGGTGATCTCATGAGAGTTTGGACGGAGTGAACTGGAGGGATTTGATCAGGGATTAGTGGCTTGTCTAATGCCATTACCTTTTACATCTTTGCTTCCTTTTGCATCTTTGCTTCAGAGGGTTGGAATAGTGTTTGAAAATCGACCAAGTTGGCCGAGTTACTCTTGCTCGGGCAGTGGCTGAGCCCTAGTTGTCATGAGTAGGGGGTTCAACTGATCTTAAAAAAAAAAAAAAAAAGAATTATAAAAAATTCAAAAAAAAAGAAATCTATTTTCATCATGTTTATTTATGTGTTCTATCTTTTTGGCAAAGATGACAGTATTTTGGCCATGAATACTTACTCTTACAATTTTTCCTTTTTTTTGGATTATTTCGAAAATACCCCTTTTCACAAACTGATTTTTCAAAATCTATTTTTGTACTGCTTTTTTAACCTCATTTCGATGTGTTTTGTTTAATCTTAATTTCAAAATATATTTCCTATTTTTTTGGTTTTTTTGTATTTTTTAAAATTTGTTTAACTCTTCTTTTATTCTATAGCACTCGGCCCAACTCGGGCCGAGTTACTCAGACTTGGGCCAGGTACTCGGCTCGGGCATGGGCGGTGAACTCGGCCCGAGTCGTTCATTCAAACACTCGGTAGGAAAGGGTTGAACTTCTTGCATGTGTGGCGTGTCATTGATGGCGCCCTCTTCTTTGTGCAGCATATGGTTGGTCAATTCTGAGCTTGGTGGATCCTAGATTGCGAGTAGACTTCTCAGGGTTGCCGGTTTTGATTATTTCTATCTTGGCTTTAGAGAGGAGCTTTCATGCTTGGTTTTGGCTCTAGTTGGTTTGAACCTGGTGAGTTCCTAACATGTTATGGTAACCATCATGATCTCAAACCTTAGATACTGAGCGTGTGGATTGTCTTTGATAGAGGCTGCAGGTGTGAGTGAAGAGATGATTCTGTTGTTGAGGATCACTTAGAAACCATCGAAAGGATTAGCAGAGGGAATTTTAATGCACACATCTAAACCCCAAACTATATGAAGCTTTCTGGGAATGACGAATGTAGTTTGTAGCCAATTTTTTGTCTTTTCATTCTGATACATTTGTAGCCATATTCTTGTTATGGTCATTTTCAATGCTTTCTGATTTTATCATTTCTTGGACTTGATGTTTATCTTTGCAAACCTGCTCGGTCTTTTGATTTACACATACTAAATTGCATAGCATATAGCCTTTGACTGTTGAGAGAGCCTGGATATCTGTCACTAATAGTTGCTCTTCCTCTCCTGTTTTTGAGTCGTTCTTATTTCCTTTCACATTGTCATATGCACCTGTAGGTCCTGCTATGTTATTTTCTTTTAAAATATTACTCATATTTATGGCATATTTGTTGGATTTCTCTTCTTTACATTTGACGTTCTACACATTCCATTTACCCAAACAAAGGTTCTACACAGTCCTTGCTTGTCGAACTTCCTCCTTTTCTTGTGGTGTTTTGGATGGAAGACCCCAGCGACCATTGTCAGAAAGTCCGTGGGTCTTTGGAGCTGGGAAGAACCAATGTTGGAGCAAGAGGACTTCTTCACTATGTGATTTTTATAGCATGAACTAGCTCCACACTTTTGTATTTCCTAAATTACATTAGTCAAATTGTTTGTTGGCTCCAAAGGGTTGCGTAATCCATTTTATCGGGTCTCCTCTTTGTTTATGAATGGGGTAATCTTTAGTTTTATCAATCTTTGCTCATAGAGCTTGAACATTTGACCATTCTGCAAGATGAGTTCATCTTTTTATATTTCTCTGGGAGATGGATCATGTTTTCAAATCTGTTAGATAGGTAAACAATGGCCATACGAATAACAGTGCTAAAGATAAACCCAGGTTTCCAGCTCTCTAGCATACTATGTCATCATTAAAAGATTATTCTCTGTATTTCTCTGATTATTATCACATGGAATGCCTTCATTGAGAAACAAATTTGGATGAATTGTGTAGTGACATTTTCTAAGAATGGTTAAGAAGATCCAGTGCAGCATATGACATCCAAGTTTGACCCCTAAAACAACACAGTCTAGCACTTTGATGATGCCGTCAGTTCATGGGCTTTCTGTATTCTCAATTACAACCATTTTACTTTTGCTGCCACATTATGCCGAAGGTTAACATTCTTGGTTCTATAGTGTCACCTAATACTAACAAGAGCCTCCAGTTCTGGAATCCATCTTTGAGCAACCTTCTTTCATTGATATCATGCATATTCTTCTACTGCGTCCCATAATCAAAGCTGATGTTTCTCGCATAATGATGGTTTGCTTTTGGTTATTTCCTTGATCACATTCCCCTCTGTAAAAGTTGAAGCTTAATTTTGGTCATTGAGCATTCATGACATACGATTGAAATAATGGAACATGTATGAATATTCTAGAAATACATCACGCACCTTCATTTAGTTTCTTATTCATTTTTGTTTTATCTGAGGAATTTGAACTTAAACGCATGCGATTGTATGAGGAATTTGAAATTAAAGCATGCAATGGTACTCTGCGATATGGGCTTGGCTAACAAGGGTATCCTTGAGGACTAGGCTTGCAAGCCAATACACAAAGAGTCATTAGTTCTAGTTTATCAAATTATGACCTACACATTTTTGTGGTTTTTAAGTACACACAGACTCATGCATGCATATTCCATTTACTACGGAGCTTCTCCTGCTGCATGCCTCCTGCAAAACCGATTGAACTTTCATGATGAAGTTTGATTTTTCTACTTATTTTATCAGAGTGCCTTTGTGTTGAATCTTACTTTCGAGCGTCGACTATTAGACATACGACATCACATTAGTCTATAACATCTTTTGATGAGTAAGTAGGGGATTGGAACCCTCGACGTTACGTTATAGTTTCACTACCCTAGCCGCAACCCTAGCCGCTGAGCCAAGGGTCCAAACCCTTTGGTCTGCTTGTTTGCACTTTTGGAGCAATATTTGAGGTCCGAACCCTTTGGTTAAATGATTTTTCTATTTTTCCAAAATTGTAATCGATCAAATGGCAATTTTGTCGTTCATAATTTGCTGTCTAGGGTTGTTTGATTGTTTAAATTTGAAATTTTGAATTCAATTTGTTATTGTGTGGTGCGATGTTGGTGGTGATGGTGACAGTACAATGGAGGCAGTATAGTCGTGGCGGTTGCGGATAGCAGTGGCAGTGGTGGGGCAGGTGGAGTGGTAGGGCAGGTGGAGTGGTGGGGCAGGTGGAGTGGTGGTGGCTAATTGGCGATGGTTATGGTGGTGATGATGGAATTGGTGGCACATTTGGTGGCTTGGTAGTGGTGGTGAGTGGTGACAGTGGTGGTGGTGGTGGTGGAGATGGTGGCTATGTGGCAATGGTGGTGGTGGTGGTGGAGGAGCAATGGTGGTAGTGATAGTTGTGGTGGTGGACTTGAGAATTGAGTGGTGGTGGCTAGGCGATTGTAGTGGTGGAACAAGGGGGGGCGAGGGGTTGTCGGTGGTGGTGATGGGGTGGTGGCTGGTAATAGAGAGATAAATGAGGCATGGAATGGAGCCAGTCCTCGAAGTTCTGGGAGATATGTTCCTGGATCGGGTTTTCGCCTACTGTCCAAGATTCCCCACCACTGCTCCCAATGGGAGTCCGGCTGTGTCTCAGTCGCAGTGTGGCTGATCATCCAAAAACATTGATGGTTTGCTAAAAATCCAAAGGGCTCAATATTTCAAAATCAGACAAGATTGATGTCAAATTATTGGTTGCCAAATTCAAAATTGGTATAGATCGCAATTTCGCCTGTAAATCATATGGTGCTCGAATTTCCCTTGCACAGTCCTATGTCTTGCACTAGCTAAGACTCATGATTAACTTGAAGTGTAGACCATTATGCCAACTTTTGAGTGTACACTATTACGCACACCATACTATTACACTCACCATAGAAGTAGCAGCTGTGAAAAATTCCAGCTAATGGGGGGAGCAACCCTCGTTCTTCATCAATCCACTTTGAGAGTAGGGGTGGCAATTGGGTCAGGTCAATCCACCATCTCCAATCTGGATTGAGTCCGGTCCGGGTCGACCCGACCCAGTATAAATATATAAAATATGGAAAAAATAAATGTTATACATATATAAAATGTTTTTTGTATTTTATTTTTTAGACCCAAGTTTGGGTCTAAATGAATTGGACCCAACCAAGTCCAGGTCCGTGTCCGGGGTCAGGTCTGAGTCCATGAGGAATCTAGTTAGCTTGGGTACGGACCTGACCCGCATTTGAGAAAGAGGGACTTTGTTGCACTAAAAGGCGCGTAAAGGATAAAAGACCCATTTGAGTGTGTGCGTGTGTGTGTGTGTCAGAGAGAGAGAGAGAGAGCCATATCTGATATAAGTTTGAAGAATACGTCACAAACTTATCCTCACAAGCACGTTTGGTTTGCGTGAAATTGTTTTTTAGAAAACATTTTCATTCTCTCATGTGGTTAAATGTGAGAATGTTTTTACATCAATTAGTTGCCAATTGGTGTGAAAAGATGCACTAAAATCAATTGGTATTAAAATATCCCCATACTTAAAATATTTTTTAAAAAACAATTTCATGTGAACCAAACGTGCATAGTTCTCTTTCGAGAACACCCATCTAAAAGCTAAAGAAACTCGTCACCCTCTTTTATTCTCTCTCAACACACTGCACTCCATACTCTCCCTGACGAGGCATTATCCATGTTCACGAGGCCCTTCCCATTCTTCAGTATTAGGTGTAAGTTATCTATACTACATTATTAAGTCAGAGTTAAGGGGAAAAATAGAAAGGGACCTTAATTCTATCGAGGTTATTGGACACATCCCTAACTCTAAGGGATATCTTCTTCTCAATCTCTTTAAATCTTTAGAAAGAGAGAGATGTATGTGGGTGTAATATGTTGAGAGAGAAACATCGAAAAAGGATATCTTCTCAATCTCTTAAGTCAGAGTTAAGGGGTGAACACGAGTCGCGAAAATAAAAGGGACCTTAATTGTATAGAGGCTGTAGGGCACATCCTAACTCTAAGGGCGTGTTTGATAACAGGAAGTTAGTTCCCAGATGATGGAACTTATCTGTCACTATTCATATTTTGTATTTGATTAAAAAAAGGTAAGATAAAAATATAAGTTCATTTTACTATTGATGTTCCACTTTTACAGGTAGAAAAAATTTCATAGTAAACCATGAAACTTGAAAATAGAACACCCCTCTTCGCACCTGTGCCATATTTCTTCACCCCTCTCGCACAGCTAGCCGCTCGCTCGCCCTGTCTCTTGCTCTCTCTCTCTTCTCTTCTTGGAGCTCCCTTCTCTCTGTTCTCTCTCTCACCCTCTGCGAGCAAGAGCTTGAGCAACCAGTGCGAGCAAGAGCAGCAACCTCTCAATCAGAGTTGTATGTAGATTTTTCAATTTTTTTTCTGTTTTCAGTTTTTTTTTTTTTAAGAATCCCTGTAAAAAGATTTAGGGCTTTCCATATTTTACAGGGATTCCTTAAAATAATTTGGCGCTTTACCAATATTTCCCAATATTTGAGAAATTGGGAAAAAATGGAATCCCTGTGAATTCTGCTTTAAAAAAATTTGGGGCTTTAGCAATATTTCTCTGTTGTAAATCTGCTGGATTTTATTCTATCTTCTTGTTTCTTGTTCCATTTCTTTTCATACACAAGTGACCAAGATACTTGGATTTATTTCATTGATTCATGATATTTGATGCCCTAAATGTATGTAAAAAGTATGCAACCTTGATTCATATATTTATGTATTGGTGATTCGAGTTTACTGATTCTAGAGAGCTATAATAGTTCTTTATTTTATGGCTTGCAATGGGAGTCAAGATAATCTGATTGATTTAATTGATTCATGATATTTGATGCCCCAAATGCATGTAAAAAATCAGGAAGCTTGATTCTTATATTTATGTATTGGTGATTCGAGTTTACTGATTCTAGAGGACTACAATAGTTCTTTATTTTGTGGCTTGAAATGGGAGCCATGAAATTTCAGTTTACAGTATGGAACTTTTATCTATTGTTATTGTCCCTTGATAAATATTTTTTTTCCCTATTGTGTTTTGGATTTCCTTTGTTTATTTAGTGGTTTTTGGTGATGTTCTGTACATAACAAAATTGGGAATGTTCCTGTATAATCTGATTTATTTCCTTGATTCACAGTGGAATCGATGAAAATATCTCTCCTCTGTACTTTTTCTTCCATTCTTTCTCTGTCTCTACCCTAACCTACTCCAACATTTTTTCCTATTTCCAGTTCTCTCTCAAACCTTTTCTACATTTGCAACAAGAGATAATGAGGGAAAAAGCTAAGCATGGGCAAAGTATGCAAGGAGCAATTACAGTGAGAAATTGAACTTTTCATGGAGAGAAATAATTGGGATCCGATTAATTTTGATTTTATGGGTTTTTTAGATTTTTTGAAATGTTGGTTACAGTGAAACAATCGAGGACTTGTTTACTTTGACAATTGAAGACAACCGTTGTTGTAGGGGAGGGTTAGACAAAAATTCATGACCTTTTTAAATAGATGATTGAAGAGAAGAGTGTTGGAGTTTACAAAGGAGAGAAAATGTTAAGAGGTAAAGAAGGCATTTTGATGGCCTCTCCTTTTGCTCACTAATGGAGGATGTCTCTCTCACTTTGAACAACCTTCCTCTCCAAAACAGTTTAGAGAATTTTCTTGTAGTGCATGTTTGTATATTCATCACTACTTGGATGCATCCATATTATTGATATCTTTTATGATATCTGGATCATTATTTTGTTTGAAATTGGGTTTGAATGGCTGAAATTACTGGAAAGCTTGCTTCAAATCAACTTGAAAGCCCATTGTTTGCCTTGAGTTTACTCAACATATGGTTGTTGCTTGACTTATGTTGATTTGATCTGTGAGAGGTTACAAACTTCAAGTGTATCTGATAGTATGGCTAGACTTATTCGAATTATGTCATTTGGCCATGTTATAAGTCAATGGTATGTTATACCAATACTATGGTTTGACATGCTTATGTTGCATTCAGTTTTTGAAGAATGAGTTTGTTCGTATTCTTTCTTTGTTCATGGGTAGGGGAGCCAACGTAGTAATTAGGAGTGAAAATGGTGTGGGCTATGAATGCTATATTCATATCGTTTTATTTTTATTTCGTAATCTCATGTCCTCTTTTAATATCCTATAAATTTGTGTTGAAGAAGCCATTTTTCCAAGTAGATGTACTTATATCTTTTGATAGTTAATTACTAGCACATGTTTGCTCTTGAAGGTTGCCTGTGCATTGAGTGTTAAAATCTATTTACATATTTGGTATTATATTGGTTGAATGGAAGGAGCTTTATTTAATTACAAAATGTTATTTAAAACACTGCATTTCACACATCATATCAATGAAATACATAATTAACAGTATTGTACGCAGAAGAAGGCACTGGTTATTGTGATTTAGCTTGTTTCAAATTCTATTTTGTTGGTTTTCATGTGAGCATCTATGAATATGAGAACACCTTCGGAACCTTTTGTGTGCTAAATGCTAAACAGTTCAGCATGCTAAATTGTGGTCAATGCATTCTTCTTCTGATTTTTTATGTTGAATTCTATGATGGTTTTACTTTGTACAGTTTTGGCAAATTCACTGTGGTACTTAGTTCTGGCTTTCTAAGCATTTTCTCTATTTATGTTTGAGCTATAATGCCTTGTACTTTTTATTATTTATTTATGTTTAATATTTAGTGCTATCTAGTTTAAAGAAATCACCTAACGAGGCTTTATTATGACTGCTAAAGACTACCATAACAATATGAGCCAGTGGAACCCTGTAGAGGAGGCCCAATTCATTGATCTCTTGTTGAAAGAGGTCAAGAAGGGGGGGGGGTGAGGAAAGGCGCATGGAACTGGATGACAGAGTGTATGGTAAGTAATTATGGGAACTTTTATGACTTGGAACGGCTGAAGCGTAAGGTCAAGCAGTTTGTAGCAATGTACAGAGAAGTAAGAAACATTTTGAGACATCTAGGTTTTGGCTGGGATAAGGCTAATCAAATGGTGATTGCCGAACCAGCCATATGGGATCAGTGTACAGCGGTGAGTTGAAATGCATTTGTTGTCTATTTCTTTGTGGTTTTGCAAGTTTAGGTGCAATGTTCACTCAAATTCAATACATACGTGTGTTCTCCTTACAAGAGTTTACTTATATGACAAAGTACAAAGGCAAGTCTTTACCTGTATACTTCAGCGAATTGGAGAACATATTTGGCACGGATGGTTCGGATTGAAGCCATGTGGAAGGGGGAAGAAATAGGTATTGATGTCTTCCTCAAGGAATCTCGGCATCTCAAGACTGTCTTCTTAAGCATCTAGTCTTTTCTTTCGTTAAAATTCTAATTGTTGTCTAAATATTTTGTTTTTTAATGTTGGGAACATTGTGGGACAAACAACAATGTTGTTTTATTGTTGAATGAGATATATTTTTATAGGTTATTGTTGAATGGGATGGTTTCTTACTGCTTGCATATGGATGCATTAATTGTGCATGTGTGTTTGTCTGTTGTGCTGAAGCTATTATAGCACAGTCCAATAAAATCCAGGAAACCAAATCCATAATTGCCATGACCGCCGATAGATATGAGTGTGCACGTGTGTGTGTGAGAGAAATAGCGAGAGAGCGAGAGAGTTTGTGTTCGGTTTAAGAAGAAAGTCATCGACTACCTCTTATGAGATTTAAACATCTATTCCATTTCATAATTGTAAAAAGACTCAACAAATTGTATACCCACAATAGTCAAGTAAATATATTGATTTCTATTTTAAGACAGTCGATTACGAAACTATTGATTTCGTACACGATATTGAATTGAGGTTGTGCTTGACATGGTCTATAGATTGCTTCAATTTTGAGGTGCAATGATGTTTATCATGCAACATTTGCTTCAATTGTTATACAAATATCTCTCTCTAGGAAGTTTCTCTCACTCATCATTAAAATTCTCTCTCATCAATAAAACTCTCTCGCTCGATCCAACGTACTTTACTTTCAATTGATATTTTATCAAAAATTAATAAAAAATAAATAATAACTAGGTCTCAATTTTAACATTTTACATATTGCCTATTACTTCTACAGCTAATCCAATACAAATACTCAGAACTTCCTAGTCTTTAGCATGTTATCAAACACAGATACTTAGAACTTACTTAACATTCCAGGAGGTTATCAAACACAGAAACCAGGAACTTCTTTAATTTCCCAGGAAGTTATCAAACACAGAAACCAGGAACTACTTACAGTAACTTCTACCTTCCTAGCAAGGAGGAACTTCCAATTTACAGTTCATGAACTTGCTTCCAGTTATCAAACAGGCCCCGAGAGAGAGAGAGAGAGAGAGAGAGAGAGAGAGAGAGAGAGAGAGAGAGAGAGAGAGAGAGAGAGAGAGAGAGAGAGTAGAGTAGAGTAGACGTACGTAGTACGTACGTACGTACGTACGTACGTACGTACGTAACGTACGTACGTACGTACGTACGTACG